CTTGGGCCTTCCAGTCCGGGGGTCCTCCTCTTCCCTGGCCTTCAAGTTCCGGGGGGTCCCTTCTCTTTCCTGGGCCCTTTCAGTCCCCGGGGATTTTCCCCTTCCCCTCTTTCCCTTGGGCCCTCAGGTCCCCCGAGGGGGTCCCTCCTCTTCCTGGGGCCTCCAGTCCCGGGGGAAAATTCCCTTCCTCTTCCTGGGCCTACCAGTCCCCGGGGGGAAATTTTCCCCTCCCTCTCACTCCGGCCTCCAGTCCCGGGGGATTCACCCCCTCCTCCTTTCCTGGGCCTTGTTTGGGGCCCTGTTTGGGGGCCTTCAGTTCCGGAGGAGGTCCCTTCCCTTTTCCTGGGCCCCTGTTGGGGTCCATGTTTGGCCTTTCAGTCGGAGGAGTCCCCTCCCTCTTCCTGGCCCTCCTGTTGGGGTTCCCCTGGAACTTTCAGTCCGGGGGATTCCTCCTTGGGCCCTCCTGGTTTGGGCGCTTCAGTCCGGAGGGGTCCTCCTCTTCCTGGGCCTCCAGTCCGGGGGATTCCTCTCTCCTGGGCCTTCCTGTTGGGCCTTCAGTCCGGAGGGTCCTCCTCTTCCTGGGCCTCCAGGGGGGATTTCTCCTCTTCCTGGGCCTCCAGTCCGGGGGATTCCTCCTCTTCCTGGGCCTCCAGTCCGGGGGATTCCTCCTCTTCCTGGGGTCCGGGGGATTCCTCCTCCCTTCCTGGGCCTCCAGTCCGGGGGATTCCTCCTCTTCCTGGGCCTTCAGTCGCCTCCTCGGGCCTCCAGTCCGGGGGATTCCTCCTCTTCCTGGGCCTCCAGTCCGGGGGATTCCTCCTCTTCCTGGGCCTCCAGTCCGGGGGATTCCTCCTCTTCCTGGGCCTCCTGTTGGGGTCCCCCTTCAGTCCGGGGGTTCCTCCTTTCCTGGGCCTCCAGTTGGGGTCAGTCCGGGGGGTCCTCCTCCTCCTGGGCCTGTTGGGGTCCCCCTTCAGTCCGGAGGGTTCCTCTTCCTGGGCCTCCTGTTGGGGTTCCCTGGGGGCTTCAGTCCGAGGGTCTTCCTCTTCCTGGGCCTCCTGTTGGGGTCCACCCTGTTGGGCCTTCAGTCCGGAGGGTCCTCCTCTTCCTGGGTCCTCCTGTTGGGGTCCTGTTGGGCCTCAGTCCGGAGGGGTCCTCCTCTTCCTGGGCCTCCTGTTGGGCCTTCAGTCCGGAGGGGTCCTCCTCTTCCTGGGCCTCCTGTTGGGGTCCGTTGGGGGTCCGGGGGTCTCTCTTCCTGGGCCTCCTGTTGGGGTCCCTCCCTCCAGTCCTCCTCCTCTTCCTGGGCCTCCTGTTGGGGTCCTGTTGGGCCTTCAGTCCGGAGGGGTCCTCCTCTTCCTGGGCCTCCTGTTGGGGTCCCTGTTGGGCCTTCAGTCCGGAGGGGTCCTCCTCTTCCTGGGCCTCCTGTTGGGGTCCCTGTTGGGCCTTCAGTCCGGAGGGGGGCCTCCTGTTCCTGTTGGGGCTTCAGTCCCGAGGGGTACTCCTCTTCCTGGGCCTCCTGTTGGGGTCCCTGTTGGGGTCCCTGTTGGGCCTTCAGTCCGGAGGGGTCCTCCTCTTCCTGGGTCTCCTGTTGGGGTCCCTGTTGGGCCTTCAGTCCGGAGGGGTCCTCCTCTTCCTGGGCCTCCTGTTGGGGTCCCTCAGTCCCGAGGGTACTCCTCTTCCTGGGCTCCCCTGTTGGGGTCCTGTCCTGTCCGGAGGGTCCTCCTCTTCCTGGGCCTCCTGTTGGGTCCCTGTTGGCCTTCAGTCCGGAGGGGTCCTCCTCTTCCTGGGCCTCCTGTTGGGCCTTCAGTCCGGAGGGGTCCTCCTCTTCCTGGGTCTCCTGTTGGGCCTTCAGTCCGGAGGGGTACTCCTCTTCCTGGGCCTCCTGTTGGGCCTTCAGTCCGGAGGGGTCTCCTTTCCTGGATGTTGGGCCTTCAGTCCGGAGGGGTCCTCCTCTTCCTGGGCCTCCTGTTGGGGTCCATGTTGGGGTCCCTGTTGGGCCTTCAGTCCGGAGGGGTCCTCCTCTTCCTGGGCCTCCTGTTGGGGTCCCTGTTGGGGTCCCTGTTGGGGTCCCTGTTGGGGTCCCTGTTGGGTCCTCAGTCCGGGGGGGTCTGGGCCTCCTGTTGGTGTTGCTGTTGAGCCTTCAGTCCGGGTGGTCTCCAGTCCGGATTCCTCCTCCTGGTTCTCCAGTCCGGATTCCTCCTCCTGGTCCTCTTCTCCGAGGTCGTCGGCGGGATTTCCCTAGGCCCTGTGCAGTTCCGCAGGGGGCGCGTCTCTCCCTGTCCTCGCTGTGACCCAGAGGAGCAGCAGCCCTGGGATGAGAAGCACCGCCAAAGCAGCAGCAGACATTGCAATGCGCTGGATTCTCTGCTCCCTTTTTGCATTGCTCTGCAGCCACTCATCTAGCAGGGGCTCTCAGTCCAGGGGGTCCTCCTCTTCCTGGGCCTCCTGTTGGGGTCCCTGTTGGGCCTTCAGTCCGGAGGGGTCCTCCTCTTCCTGGGCCTCCTGTTGGGGTCCCTGTTGGGAGTCCGGAGGGGTCCTCCTCTTCCTGGGCCTCCTGTTGGGTCCTGTTGGGCTTCAGTCCGGAGGGGTCCTCCTCCTCCTGTTGGGGTCCTGTTGGGCCTTCAGTCCGGAGGGGTCCTCTCCCTCCTGTTGGGGTCCCTGTTGGGCCTTCAGTCCGGAGGGGTCCTCCTCTTCCTGGGCATCCTGTTGGGGTCCCTGTTGGGCCTTCAGTCCGGAGGGGTCCTCCTCCTCCTGTTGGGGTCCCTGTTGGGCCTTAAGTCCGGAGGGGTCCTCCTCTTCCTGGGCATCCTGTTGGGGTCCCTGTTGGGCCTTCAGTCCGGAGGGGTCCTCCTCTTCCTGGGTCTCCTGTTGGGGTCCCTGTTGGGCCTTCAGTCCGGAGGGGTCCTCCTCTTCCTGGGCCTCCTGTTGGGCCTTCAGTCCGGAGGGGTCCTCCTCTTCCTGGAGTCTCCGGAGTCCGGAGGGTAAGGGGTCCTCCTCTTCCTGGGTCCTGTTGGGGTCCCTGTTGGGCCTTCAGTCCGGAGGGGTCCTCCTCTTCCTGGGCCTCCTGTTGGGCCTTCAGTCTCCTCCTCTTCCTGGGCCTCCTGTTGGGGTCCTGTTGGGCCTTCAGTCCGGAGGGTCCTCCTCTTCCTGGGTCTCCTGTTGGGGTCCTGTTGGGCCTTCAGTCCGGAGGGGTCCTCCTCTTCCTGGGTCCTCCTGTTGGGCCTTCAGTCCGGAGGGGTCCTCCTCTTCCTGGGCCTCCTGTTGGGGTCCCTGTTGGGTCTTCAGGCCGGGGGGGTCTGGGCCTCCTGTTGGTGTTGCTGTTGAGCCTTCAGTCCGGGTGGTCTCCAGTCCGGATTCCTCCTCCTGGTTCTCCAGTCCGGATTCCTCCTCCTGGTCCTCTTCTCCGAGGTCGTCGGCGGGATTTCCCTAGGCCCTGTGCAGTTCCGCAGGGGGCGCGTCTCTCCCTGTCCTCGCTGTGACCCAGAGGAGCAGCCCTGGGATGAGAAGCACCGCCAAAGCAGCAGCAGACATTGCAATGCGCTGGATTCTCTGCTCCCTTTTTGCATTGCTCTGCAGCCACTCATCTAGCAGGGCTCTCTTCTCTTCGGTGCGGCGTATCTGGGATTATTTCTAGAAATAATCCCGTATGAATTGGGGAATGAACGAAGGCTATGCCCCCGGCGATTTTATATTTTTGGCTGTTTCCTGCAAGCTCTAGGTTTGCATAATTATGCTGCACTCTAAAATCTTTAGCAGGTTTCGTAATGCGGAAAACATTAAAAAAAATCCGGGATAGTTACGTAGATACCAGTTATCAGCGTAATATACATTAACAATGATAATGGTATTTATTGATGATTGTAATAATTATACATTTGTCGCAATGAACATCGTTGAACAATAATCATATTTCCTGTGTAAAGAAAAAAAATGCTCTCCCAAGGCCGCCAGCAAACATCCATAAATAAAGAATAATGAGCCACATTTCATCACATTTCTAAATCGTCTTGAAATATGAATTCCTAGTACCCAATTACCCACACTCGTTACTAATGGCGTCATTTATATAAAAAAGAACGAATACTAGATAACAGTATAAGAATAATAAACCTATAATTACAATAATACTGAAAAAAATTACATGCCAGTAAAGGCACCCAGCCAGAATGACACCCACCATCTGAGGGACTCCAAATATAACCATCTGTAAGGTAACGTCTTCGCTAGCCCTGGAATGCCTCTGCCGGATTCATTTACGCGAACGGCAGCGGCGAGTTCGTAGACATGAATCCAGTCGGCGCGGATTCCTGTAAGCGGTTCCTTTGAATACACGAAATACATTTTACCTGCATAACAAAGCAACGCTAAATACATTACACCACACACAACAAAGGGAAGGAGGGGGAGGGGTAGGTACCTAGGGGAAGCGAAGGGGGGGGGAGGACTTCACTGTAAGGATCGCATCCGCCATAGACGTGTCAATCATACCTCGGTTAGGTGAAATCATTTCGTGTTCAAAATAAATCATGTGATAATCTTTTATTCGATTTGTTCCTTTGTTCACCAGCTATCCTATCCTCGATTAAACTGATTTACGATAAAGTTTATGTGAGAAGAAATTTGGTCTCCCGGTCAAATGCGAGAAGCGTCTTGAGCGAAGATAGTACTGGTAAAAGGCGCAGTTGCGAGAAAGATTAATGAATATTTTTTCCTATCTCTCCCTGTCAGGCATTTTAGTTATGTAAGAAAGACTGTGATAATACGTCGTTCTTACCGAAATAAAAGTGTTTATTAAAAAAAACAAACAAATGCGAATGAGAGGGAGAGGGAGAGAGAGGGAGAGAGA